AAGGTCCCGAAGGGCCGCAATGCCGAGGATCGGCTCACTGCCACCGAGGTGGCGAGCTATCGCCACACGCTCGGGCAACTGCTATGGTTAGCACTCCAGACCCGGGTGGACATCGCCTGCCCGGTGAGCTTTACAGCCCGCCGCACCAACGTCGCCGCCGTGGCCGACGAGAAGACCCTGAACAAGACCGTCGCCTACGTGGACTCGGCCGCGAATTTCGCGATCGTGCTGAAGTGCAGACTCGTCGATCTGATGACGGCCACCACCGCGTGCTTCAGCGCCGCTGCGTTCGCCGACGTGGACGGGGTCAAGAGCCAGTGGGGCATGGTGATGGGGCTCACTCACCGCCCGCGGGATGTCGTCGGCGGCCGCTACGACCTTTGCCTACACGTGGCCTGGCACTCAGGCACGGTCAAGAGGTCAGTGAAGTCGACGCTCGCTGCCAAGGGCTACGCAACCATCGAGGGATCGGAGATCAACATCTGGTTTCGCCGGCTACTGACCGAGGCCTACAACCCCAACGTGGCGCTCAAGCATATCGACGTCCTCACCGACAAGCGCGGATCTACAGCGACAGCAAGGGTCTGGCGACGCACATCGCTTCTGATGCGGGCCAGTCCACCGACGGGCGAATCCGCATCGTCGCCTCCATGATTAAGGAGGCCGTGCACTCCAACAGTGCATTCAATTTCAGCTGGATCCCGACCTGGGCCATGGTCGCGGACGCCTTGACCAAGGCAATGAAGGCCGGCGCTCTGCTGGCATTCTTCTGGGCCCACAAGCGCAGCTACGGGGCCTGGCAGCCGCGCGCCGCCATGCTCGCCTCAGTCCTGTTTACCTGCCTCGGAAAAATCAAGGGACAGCCTACGCATACGCCGCCTGATGACGTCCACGTTAGTCCTCGGCATGACTATAGGGTTCGGCATCTTCGTGACGCTCTGGACGTTCATGAGGCAGAACAGCATGCTCGCCACCGAGGAGCGCGTCGCCGAGGCGAAGGCAATGGTCGAGCACCCCGGCTTGGACGGTGCCGCATGCTTGGCCGGCGCCGTAACAGTCCAGCTACAATCCCTGAGGATCGTGATTACGACGGCGACATCACGATGCACCCCTCGGATGGACACAGCAGTGCGCAAGCATCGAGTTCATCAGCATCGGTGCCCGGCGCATCTCTCGGACACCACCCATCGCAGCCGCCGATGTCAGCACCACCATCGCCACTGCTGCCGCCAGAACCACCACTTGCCAGCACACCACCTACCGCAACACCAGCACGATCGAGGTCAGCGAGATCTCTGAGTTCAGTGTCAGCCCCTACCTCACCAAGCATAGTCACTGCTTCGAGTTCATCGAGTTCAGTATCTGTGAGTGTGGTTTCGTGGAATGGTCCCTCGCCGACGGCATCGCCGAACGAGATGCTCAACTGTGTGACCGCCGTCCCCCGCCATGATTTCTGAATCGGGCATAATCCGCATAGCGTCTACATTGCCTGCAAGACCTGCAAGAAGCATTCGTCATGGCTTCTCCGGTTCTATCAGGCGCGGCAGTCCCGATTTCACGAACTTCCCTGAAGGCGCGATGAATGATCTCATGGGCCATTGGAGGAGGCTCACAGGCAGAGAATGTTGGTGCGGACCTGCCATGATGGACAAACCGACGAAGCCCAAGAAGGAAATATTACCCCCGCTTGGTGTCCGTGCGGCAGATTGGCCGGTCGAACCAGCAAATATTAGGTTGCTCTGTCTTCGCGCCCGGCTACTCATACGTAAGTCCGCATAGCTGCTTTGTCTTCACGCTGGGCTACGCATACGTAAGTCCGCATTGCTGCTCAGTTTTCGCAGACGGTGACTTACACGTAAGTCCGCATTGCTGCTCTGTGTTTCACTTTCGGCTAGAGATTTATGTAAGTCCGCATCGCTGTCTGGCGTTTCACACCCAGCTAATGATTTACACGTACATCCGCATTCAGAGAAGGCTCATTCAGTGTGCACATGTTTTAAAGATGTGATGACGATCGCACCCATTAAGACCTTATCTCGATAAAGGTTGCTATGTTGAGCTTTGCCGCGTAGTGATCGAACTCTTGCTATTGCTAGCCTTGCTTGTCTTCGATTCAGCGCTGAGAGCTGAGAATGTCCTGCATGTCGCGTGTAGCGCATCCGCTGAAGTGCCCAAGGGGCTGTCTGCTATGCAAGCCGCGTCGAGCCGTTTACTCGCCTTCTGACAGCACGCCTGGCACCCCGCTTAATGAGGAGCCAGGCTTATATGCCCGGCTGCTCGGGTGCCTCAGCCTCGGGCGCTCCCGCACCGTGCAGGAGGAGTGTGATTCCAGAAGACTCGCCCTCTTCCGCCTCGCTTCTGTTCTGTCTCTTAATATCCGCTCTGCCGCAACCATTTCCTCTCAAAGTAAGGCCCTTGGCAATTGAGCTACGATCTCTGCCGCGCAGAGTGCGAGAAAACATTATCAGCGATAATATACCATATCGCAACCAGAACTCTTGGAGCGTGCCCCGAGCTAATCGCATCATAAAATTTCAATCGCCTTTTGCTCGCCCAGACCTGCGGCGGTTTTTCTCCCGGACTTATTATGTTGTTTCGGCCTCGGGGTGAGCCTGGAGTTTAGCCGGCAGTCAGGGACGCCCGTGACGTTTTACCTGCCCAGCCAGGTTGGGTTCGATCGAAATGAGGACGGAAAGAGTGGGGAGGAAGAACGACAGCAACCCTTGTACGTTTTGAACCATACTCGTTGCCGCTGTCGCCGCGGACAATGTCTTACATCATTTTGCCTGTCACATTTCGACCGCTGTCGGCTTTTGGACAACATCTGCTGTTGGGCATCACCTTCTTTTTCCGTCCCAAGCCCAGGCGTGCTCACAGACATTCAGCGATGATGATCCATCGTTTTTTTTGCGTTTTGGCATCACGGGGCAGTCTTCCAGGCCTCTTGCCCGTCAGCAACAACAGGTGATGAAAACAGGTATGGACCTTTGCGGGACCCCGTGCCGCCGGAAAACAAGTGAGCCACGACGCCGGCGGTTTGCGTCGGGGCGAGAAGGAGCCGTTGTGATTCCGGGGAACAAGCAACAACATAAACATAACAATTCGGAGTTTCGCGCGGACTGATCGGCGCTGGACCCCCGCGCGCCAGGGGCGGTGCCATAGACGCCGCCAGTGGGGCCCAGCGTCAATCCAAGAAATCCGCGCGGGGCTCCGACAGTTCATGTTTATGCAGTCCGTTGCTCTTCTGTACGACTGTTCCTTCCCGCCTTCTGGCCCTGGTGTGTGCCCCGAGGTGTGGCCCGCGCTGCCGGGGGTCCGGTGGGCTCTCTGCAGGCTCAGGGTTCGTTGCGATCCGACGGAACATAAATTGCTGGGGACTGGAACGACTGTGCGTAAGACGTGTGGCATTCGCCGTTCGTTTGGCAAGCATGTCACGTTTCTCCGACCTACCGTCGCCACCCAGAGGATGTGCAGCACTGGCTGTCGCGACGAGAAGTAGTCGCCCCATTGTTGTTGGAAACAAAAAACACTTTCAGGAGAGGAAAGTAGACACCGCCACACATAAGCGTGTATTCCAATGGAAGTATGGGAAAAGATGGGGGCGACGAAAAGCCAGAGCATTTGGAATACAGATTGGGAGTCCTTGGATCTGTGCTTATTTAATCGCTTCGCTCATTCCGCCGGCCCTGGAGCGCTATTTGGGGCCTCTTGGGGCCGTCTTGGGGGCCTCTTGGTGGCTTCTTGGGGGCGTCGTGGGGCTCCTTGGCGGCGTCTTGGGCTCCCCTGGGGTCTCTTAGGGGGCTCTTGGGGGCCCCTTGGGGCGGGAGGGGGTGTAGTCGATTGCAGCCACCCCTTCGGAGGCCACGATCCTCGTGAGGGGTGGCGAGAAATAGCCTCCCCTCTGGGGATCGCCCGGGACCCGGCCGGGACCCGGCCGGGGGTCAGCCGGGGTACTTTTCGTCCGGGGTCCCCCAGGGGCCGCCCCGCGCGCGCGAATTAGAAATATTGTTAAGTAGTTTAAGTAGTTACCAGAGATCTTAGCACGCCTCTGGCCCGTTGGGCCGGCGAATTTCTTTGTGTGTCTCTGGGCCGCTTCACACGTAGGCGCTGGCTGCGGCTTTCTGCCTCGATTTCTGTTTATCAGGGCTTCTGGCAAAGAGCCCCCCATTCACACATGTCCGCGGCCACGGGGGATCCAGCCATTTTCCGAAGCAGTCCGTGGCCGCCTGGGAATCCAGGTCATCGCCGCCGCCGCCGCCAAGTCCACCTTCGACGCCATGAAGACTAGCGGCCTCGAGGGCGCCCCGCCAATGAACGCCGGCAGGCCCCAGCCCGCGCTTCTGCCAGCCCAGTGGTAAGGATACTGACAGTGTGATTGATAGGTGCGCTTTAGTCTAAAGAGTTGCTGTTGGGGTGGGATCAGATATTTAGCGCAAGCGTGGGCGCTTGTGTTAGCAATCGTTGATATCCAGCACAGGAAATCTTGCATGCGTTCCCAAACAGCGCAAATAGTTCAAAAACAGGGCTTGCGAATAGCTGCGCATCGACGAAGCAGGACACGACGGTTCCGGTCTGGACTCGCGTGCGAGCAGTAGTAGTTTGCGCCTTCCAGATCACCCAAGCCGTTGTACTCTAAGGCCATCGGAAAAGCTAATAACAATTTCAACGGCATAACTTGCGTTGTGATGCTAACGCTTACCGCGATGACGTTTGCATGTGTTCTGTCGAGCAGTAGCTTTGCGGTAGTTAGTGCGTCGATGCAATTGTCCGCAATGCCTTGCAACAGTTCGCGTTCGAGGGCGCAGCAGCATGGCCGATTTGCAATAGTTCTGGCAGGCTGGACTGTTGCAAGCCCCTTGGCGGGAATGTCGAGTTGGACGAGGGGCCATAACAAATCGATGACCTGCTCTCGCTCTACGCGATGCGAAAAGCAGAGTGCATTCAGTGAGGCTTTTGTGTTTGCAGCATCATCCCAAAACATACAATGTTACCAGGTGCGTAGCAATTGGGGCTCAAGCCATTCTGGAGCAAGGCGCTTGCACAGGAGAGAGATACCCAGCACACACGCGCAATACACATCTTTTGTGTTCATATAAGCTCAGTTCCGTTTGTCAATGATGCGCCATCTCTTGGTCGCCAGCTTGGTCGGGGCTTTCGGCGCCTGTGGCCTGGCCCCTGCAGACGACCTCAGGTTGTTTCAGACGCGGAGCTCTGGCCAGACGCAGTCGTTGTCAAGAGATGATCGACTGTCGACCCAGAAACCCGAGGCGTACGAGATGACCGCTGCGACACAGTCGAGGGACACATCGGGGAGGGAGTTCTTCACGTATGATTCCGTGCCCATCTACGCCGCTTCACCAATGAGTGGTGCTGCCGCCGCCGGCGGAAGCAGTCCAGCGCGCCCGTGGATGATCATGTTGCAAAGCGACGCAACAGAGGAGGAGATCGTAACCATGAGCAAGGAGTTACCGAACGGCCTTGCGACACACGCGAGCATGGGCGAGGTGCCCATGGTGATGGGGAAAATGGATGTCAGTAGCCTCCACTCGTTCATCAACAACCACCCAGGTCGTCTGAAGTTTGTCGTAGAGGATCGGTTCGAGAAAAGGGTGGACACGCCAGTCATCGAAGAGGCTTCGAACTCGGAGCGACGGACCTACCCATGGGGCATCCAGTACCTCAATGCGGACGTGGTCCGTGGGAAAGGCGCGGGGGTGAGCGTGTACGTGCTGGACACCGGCGTTCGCATCACCCACTCCGAGTTCGGCGGTCGGGCCTTCGCCGGAGTGGACGTAGCTGCCTCGGGGACGTACCCGGGCACTCTCACAGTGTGTTCGCCGTCCAGCACAACGTGCGCTGACGACCAGCATGGGCACGGCAGCCATTGCGCGGGATCGGTGGGGGCCTCGACGTATGGCGTCGCGGACGGCGCTTCCATATACGCAATGAAGGTCCTGAATAATGCAGGCTCTGGCTGGACCACATGGTCCATTCTAGCCGAGCAGTGGATCTTGTCGTCTGGGAACAGGCCAGCGGTGGTCAGCATCAGTATCCAGGCCAACTACAATGACCCCGCAGAGGAAACCTCCATCGACAACCTGGTGGCCGATGGCGTGACCGTGGTGGTGGCTGCAGGGAACGCCAACGCAGACGCGTGCACTTATAATCCAGCTTGGATTTCGTCGGCGATCACCGTAGCTGCTTTCGGTGGGGCTTCGGGGAGCTCATGGGACAGGTCTTCGTACAGCAACTGGGGCTCTTGCATCGACGTTTATGCTCCAGGCACGAACATCCTCTCGCTGGGCCCATCCAGCGACACCCAGACCTATTTCAACACAGGCACATCTATGGCTTGTCCACACGTCGCCGGCCTCGCGGCCAGGATGTATGAGGCGTATCCTACGGCGGGGTCCATGACCGCTGCGCAGAGGTGGGATCTCCTGACGGTCACAAACTGCACAGGCTGTATCACAAATGACGCGACTCCCACACCCACTGTCAACCTGGTGGCGTTGGCCACTTCCCCTACTCCCGCGCCTATGATCTCGCCCACTCCCTCGCCTACGCTCTCGCCTACGCTACCACCCACGCCCTCTCCCACGCCCTCGCCTACGCCCTTGTCCACGCCAGGACCCACGCCTTTGCCAACGCTGTATCCCACGCCCTCGCCTACGTTCTCGCCAACGCCCTCGCCGACGCCTTCGCCCACTCCCTTGCCTACGCCCTCGCCTACGCCCTCACCCACGCCTGCACCCACGCCGTCGCCCACGCAGAGTCCTACGTCGTCGCCAACGCTCTCGCCTACGCCCTTGCCCACGCTCTACCCCACGGCGTCACCCTCTCCCTCGCCTACGACCTCGCCAACGCCGGCACCTACGCCAATGCCCACGCCTTCGCCAACGCCCTCGCCTACGGACTCGCCAACGCCATCCCCTTCACCTTCTCCTACGTCCTCCCCTACGCCTTCACCCACGCTGGCGCCCTCTCCCTCGCCTACGCTGTCGCCCACAAGCTCGCCTACGGACTCTCCAACGCCATCGCCTTCGACCTCGCCTACGACCTCGCCTACGCTTTCGCCCACTGGCGCGCCTACGCCCTCGCCTACGCCCTCTCCTACGCTGTTGCCTACGCCCTCGCCTACGCTGTCGCCCACGCCTTCGCCCACGCCCTCGCCGACGTTCTCGCCAACGCCCTCGCCGACGCCTTCGCCCACGCCCTCGCCTACGCCCTCGCCCACGCCCTCTCCCACGGCGTCACCCTCTCCCTCGCCTACGCCCTCGCCCACGCCCTCGCCAACGCCCTCTCCTACGTTCTCGCCAACGCCATTGCCTTCGTTGTCACCTACGCCGAATCCCATATCATATCCCACGCCGTACCCCACGCCCTATCCTACACCTTCGCCAACTCCGTCGCCTTCGCCCTCACCTACGCCCTCGCCTACGCCGTATCCCACGCCATATCCCACGCCGTACCCCACGCCCTATCCCACGCCCTATCCCACGCCATCTCCCACGCCCTCGCCTACGCCGTATCCCACGCCATATCCCACGCCCTACCCCACACCGTATCCCACGCCCTACCCCACGCCCTACCCTACGGCCAATTCGTGTGGCAAATACTCCTCCTGCAAGCCTTGCCAATATGCGGTGGGGTGTTACTGGTGCAGGTCAAATTCGTGGTGGTCTGTGTACTCTGGCCAGTGCCTTTCCACCGGGACGATCGCCAACTGCTTGTGGATGTCCCCGACGTGCCGTTGGAGGTGGTGGTACTATTTCACCTGGAGGTTCAGGCTGCGGGTCAGAAGGGCCTACTCATCGGCGTTCATCGGAGACAGCTTCGTGCGAGGAGCCTTCGAACGCTCTGGGAAGTCCCGGGTGTCTGCCCTGCCCTCTAGTGCTGTGGTGTCCGTCCAGCTCTCTATCCCGAGTCTCCGCATGGATGCCTCGGGCTCGGATGAGATGGACGAGATTGAGGTGGAGTACGCCGTAGCAGTGCCTGGCGACGACGGCGACGACTCGGAGGGTGTCGATCAGCAGCAGGTCGACTCGCTCTCGGGAGATTTGGCGCAGGTCTCAGCGGAGGAGTACACACAGGACTTCGTATCAGAGATGAGCGGTGTGGCCGGCGCGGCGGAGTTCGGCGTGGAGGCAGTGGCCAATTCTGCTACGGCCCCTGCGGTGACCACGGTAACAGATCCTCCGACGCCGAGCCCGACGCCGAGCCCGACGCCGAGCGCGGCCTCTGCGAAGGGGGATCCCCATCTGGTCAACGTCTACGGCCAGCGATTCGACCTGATGCAGCCTGGTCTGCACTCACTGGTTCATATTCCAAGGTTTGCCGAAGCGGTTCGCACCCTCCTGGACATTCGAGCAGACGTCCAGAGGCTTGGGGCCACGTGCGCAGACATGTACGTCCAGTCCATCAACGTGACGGGTGCGTGGGCCTCTGTGCCAGAGCACCCAGCCGGCATGTTCTTCTCGGCTGAGGCGTCGTCAGAAACTCATGGATGGCAGAAACTCGGCCAGGTCAAGTTGAAGGTGATCCAGGGCCACACCGAGCATGGCGTCGCATATCTGAACTTCCTCATCCGCAGCCTGTCGAAGGTGGAGTATTCGATCGGTGGCCTCCTCGGGGACGATGACCACACCGAGGCGTCCAGAGTCGACCCCAACTGCCGCACGAGGTTCAACCTTGTGGAGACATAGGACTGCCACGTATATTATAATTGTCGTGCCGCCTTGTGGAGACATAGGACTGCGTCAACTGACAAACAAGAGTTCTTGAAGAGAGAACGGATACGATTCCAACCAGGCCTTGGCCCCCCCCCCCCTGTCTATTCCTGCCCGGCGAGCACGCTTCCAATGTGAGCGTGGCCTGGCTCTGAGGAGCCATGTCCCGTGTCTCATTCCCTTCCGCTCTTGCTGCGGCCTCCTCTTTCCGCTCCTCTGCCCGCCCGTCAGGGATAAGTAGGGCCTGACCTAGTCTGGGGGCGACTTTGAAGTATGTTTGACCATTTGAGGAGTATGTTTGACCATGTTGGGTGTACTTTGGGGGGATGTTTTATTTTTCGTCCAAAATCCGCCTGTAGGGGGACATGCCCGACCTAACCCTGGCCCTGGAGCGCTGATCGGCGACACCACCAGTTGCTTTGCGTGAGAGGCGTGGTGGTCAGGGAAACAAGCAAAGACATAAGCATAAAAGCTCGGAGGTCCGCGCGGATCTCTCGGATCGGCGTTGGACCCGACTCGTTGGCGCGCTCCGCGCGCCACGGGCGGCGCCAGAGGCGCTGCCAGGGGGCTGCGCATCGACGAAGCAGGACACGACGGTCCCAGCCTGGACTCGTGCGAGCAGTGGTGGCTCGCGCCTTCCAGATCACCCAAGCCGCTACGACCGAAGGCCGTTCGAGAAGCTAACAACAATTTCAGCGGCACAACTTGCCAGGGGGCTCAGGCGCCGATCCGAGAGATCCGCGCGGGCCTCCGAGTTGGTCTGCTTATGTCATTGCTCGTTCCCCCAGGGGTGGCTGGCGGGGGGGGGCCGGGAGCCGGCTCGCTCGACGCAGGGCGCCGGGTGCGCTCTGGCGTGCCGCGTGGCCGAGCAGGGCGGGCGGCGCGCAGTGCACAGGGCACGCCACGCGCGAGCAGGGCGGGTGGCGTACAGCGAGAAGGCTCGGCGGCGAGCGAGGGGGGGGGGAGCGGGAGGGGTCGGGCCTTCTCAGGAGGCTCGGAAGTCCCCCGGCCCTCCGAGAGGTTCTCCAGGCCTTCCCTTCAGTCGGGCATGTCCTTCTGCAGGCGGGATAAAATTCAAGGGTAGTCCAGAAATCGTCTGGGGACGATGTTTGTTTACTTCGGGCGTAGCCCGAAGTTGTTTTTGAATGAATTGAATTGAACTGAACTTAATTTGACATGAGTTTGACCTGAGCAGACTATTCGCACACGTTACGCGACGGATTGATTCTCGGCCGCCAGCGGCGCAACCTATGGCGCAACCGAAAGGAAACGGTTTTATGCTCGGCCGCCGAAGGCGCAACCTATGGCGCAACCGACAGGAGACGGTTTTGTTCTCGGCCGCCGAAGGCGCAACCTACGGCGCAGCCGATAGGATACGGTTTTATTCTGAGCCGCCGAGGGCGCAACCTATGGCGCAGCCGATAGGAAACCGAGCTGGAGCAGGAGGAAAACGAGGAAGACGAGGATGATGAGGAGGAGGACGAGGAGGAAGAGGAGGAGGAGGAGGAGGAGGAGGAGGACGACGACGACGACGATCAGGATGGGGAGGAGTACAAGTAGTACGAGGACGAAGTGTGGGCATTCGAATGCGTGCGGGGCTACGCCCGATGATCTATGCTCGCTGTTTGGGCTGGCGGTGGGGCCAAGCGGCGAGCTACCCTGTGATTTGCTGATTAATGTTGGGCACTTGTTCGGCTACTTATCATTTTTCCATCAAAATCCGCCTGTAGGAGGACATGCCCGACCTAAGCCTTCCCCGAAGACACCGAACACTTTTCAGAAGGCGCGAGGGCTTCTGAGAAGGCCCGCCGCCGTTTGAGATGGCCTTCTCCTTGTCACTTCCCCCCCTCGCTCGCCGCCGGGTGAAGGACACGCCGCCGCCCCACCCAGCCCCCCGAGGGGAGGAGGGACGCCAGAGGGAGGAGGGCGGAACGAACCCTTTGACAGGAGCGGGGGCTGGCGCTCGAAGATCACCGGCGCGCTCAACGAGGAGTTCGACAAGGCCCCTCTGCCCGCGGGGTGGGGCGCTCTCCGCGGGTCCGCGCGAGCTTCCTGAAGCAGGAGGAGGAGGAGGAGGTCTTGATGGTTTCGGGAGGGAGAGGGGGGGCACAGGGGCTCTGAATTGGCATCGCTCGGACGTGTGTGTTGTTGCTCTCGGCAAGAACCGTCGAGGAGCATGTTAGGTCATCTTGCGGAAAATGCACGCATGAAGTCAAACATGCACGGGGAATGGACGTCCGAGCGATGGCGAGGAATGGGGGGGAGGTCTTGAAGGTTTCGGGAGGGAGGGGGTGGGTGTGCACAGGGGCTCTCAGAGCATGCCAGGGGGTCTTCTTGCTCTCCTCGTCCTCCCCCTCGCGTGCTGCTGCCGATCCCCTCCCTGCTCGAAGCCGGCCGACGCTGCTCCTCAGCCTCCCCTCCCATCTCTTGCTCAACTTATTTGTGTTTTTAATACACACAAAGCACCTCTTCGTGGACACCCGAGTTCCGAGTTCCCCTCCCACCTGCTTTTCTCCTCCCCGTGCTTGGCCTATCGGTAAGCCGGGCCTGTCCCTCTATAGGAGGGTTCTTCAAACATAGTAAATTAAAAAGTCAGGGGACGATGTTTGAGTATTTCTAGCTATTTTTGTCGATGTGTTGGGTGTCTTCTACCTTTCGTCCAAAATCCGCCTGTAGGGGGACACGCCCGACCTAACGTTACGGCGCAGCTGGTCCTCCGAAGCAGGCGCAACGGCAGCGGCAACAACAGACATGGGGGCAAGGGAAGCAGCGGCTCGACCTGGTCCGGGGCGGAGCCTCCAGGCCGCCGCGGCAGCCGACGGCCAGGTGGCCTCCTCCCTTGTCACATCGCTCGGACGTGTGCGTGTCTTTTGTCGGCGAGGCCAGCGCTACACAAAGTCGGGGCCAGTCGCGAAAAAATCACAACGGGAGGCTTTTCGCAATTTTCTGCCTCTGGGGGCCCTTGCCGCGCCTCGGGACAGTCAAGTAACGACTCAGGTCGGAAACTTGGTCCTGCGGAATGGGTCCAGATCTCAGGGCGTCGACGTTATGAAAAAAACATGACGTCGGGGGACCATCCTGGGGCACCGTGGATCGTGTGGAGAAGAAACGCACGGGGCCGAAGAGTGCACGGGGTATGGGCGTCCGGCCGACGGCTGACTCCTCCTCCGTTGCTGCCGATGCGCCTCTGCTCCGCCTGCCGCTGCTGCTGCTCCCCGCCTTCTTGCGCTCGGGGCCTCCACTGGGCCCTCTGGCCGCACCCCCGCGGGTGGTGATCCTCGGCCTCCGCCGCGGCGAGGCGAGAATCACGGGGCCATCGCGTCAGCTTCACCGTCGGCGAGGAGGAGGGAGCATGAACGAGGGATGAGGACGAGGAAGGGGGCAGAGGAGGGGATTGAGAAGAGAAGGAGGAGGAGGAGGAGGAGGAGGAGGAGGAGGAGGAGGAGGAGGAGGAGGAGGAGGAGGAGGAGGAGGAGGCGGAGCCCCAGCGTGTCCCAAAGGGAAGGCCGCGCCCCATACCGCAACTCCCCTCTTTCACCCACTACACTACTCAAGGAACCTCGTTGGCACAGGCGCAGGAGGGCACCCTGCGCACGCATACCCGCGTCTTTTTGTTGCTGTCGCCAGCTATCGAGCCTTTTTTCATCCCGCCACTTCCTCCACTCTTTTTCAAGATAAGCCGCGGAGGAACAAACCAGCACTGGGACTACCCATGCGGCAGGTACGCCAAGGCTCACCACTGGAGTTGCCTATGTGGTTGCCATTGTGATCATTGCGTTGTTTCCATGCGCAGGGTCCACGTAGAACCACAGTCGCATCCGCCAGCACGCCTATGTCAAATCGAGTTTACTTTCCGTTCAGGGACCAGTCGCACCCGCAGGATCGTCCAGCAGGGGCAGTTCCAGAAGGATTTCCAAAAAGGAGGGTCAGGAGGTGAAGCACCTCATTGGTCGAACCGGCACGGTGAAGAGATTCGAGGAAACCAACGCCACGCAGTTCCTCAGTTGCGAAGGATAAGTCGTACACGGCCAATGCCAAGACGAGGGTGTCCGAGATCGCCAGGTTTATCATTATTGCACGTCGAGCTGGCAAAGAAGGTGAGAGATGCCTGCAGGATGAGTTGTCACGTGAAATAAATGACGGATGCAACGGAGAGGCTAGGTGACCAGTTGACGGAGTTGAACTCCAAGCGTGGCAAGCGCCATGTGCACATGCGTGCCATTCAGTTCACGGTGCAGGTCATCCAGGATGAATTCTAGCAGCCCGAGGCCGACCTCACGGAGTGGAGGGAGGCAATATATGAGCTGGAGGACCTAGATGACTACATGGTTGGCGAGGACAGCGCGGCGTCGTCTTGGCAAGGTGGCCCCCATAGCGGCAAAATCTGCGCTGCAGGCGGGGCCCAGCCACAGAGTTATGGGACGCACTACTACACGTCTCCGACGCGCCCGTGCCCACTGCCTCCGTCAGCGCCACCACAACAGTCGGAGCATTTTCCACAGCAGCCACAGTCTGACATGCAGTTCGAGATGAAGGAAATCGCGGCCATGGTCCAGCCAACGGCTCAGAGGCAGTAGTTGACGGATGAACAGATGACCACGACCATATCAAACATCCCAGGCCCGGCGGCCCAATCAGCAGAGGGGGTTCGCGCGCGTGGAGATGTCATGGCGCCAACATCGCAGAGCGGATTTCGTTCGGAAAACGATGGTGTGGGCCCGGGGTGTCCTGGAGAATTTCGCTCCGGATTTCGGGGTGAATTTTGTGCGGATTTTTCTTTGCCAGGAGTGAACACCAAAAATAACCCATGCGAAATTCACTTCGTTTTTCGCGCGCCGCTTCGGGCAGAAATCCACGCAGAAATCCGCTGCAGCACGTCTGCAAGGCCGGTGCAATGAGGATATAGGCCACCAACAGACCGAGACTGTCCTGCGCCAGAGCCGCGCGCCACAATCGCCGCGGGCCTCGCCGGCAGAGGTGGCCGACTCGACGGTCAAGGTTTAAGTCGGGGCTGTCCCTCTACAGGACAAAAAATGAAACATAGGTTTAAAAAATAGTCTCGCGACGATCTTGCTATTTTTTTTTAGGCTATTTTCGAATCTGTTTTGACTATTTTGCTTTTTTCGTCCAAAATCCGCCTGTAGGGGGACGCGCCCGACCTAGGCCTCGCCGACAGAGGTGGCCGAGGACCCGCGCGGCTCGACGGTCGAGGTGGGAGTGGAATCAGACGCGCAGTTTGCGCCCCAGGGCCCCAGGGC